GATAATGGTGGTGGCCTAGCGTTCATCACGCACCACACCGTACAGTATCGTCTTATCGAAGCAGACATCGACCGCAGGGATACCACCCTAGAATGTCAGGGCATTGCTATCCGGTCAGACGATGTTGAGCTCGAAATATTTAACGTTTATATACCCCCTGTCACCTGCTGCCCGGCAGGATATCACCCTGACATAGGTGCGCTCCTCAGAGGTGAAAACTGTATGGTAGTAGGCGACTTTAATGCGCACCACGATCTTTGGCACTCAAGCCTGTCAAACGATCGTAGGGGAACTGACTTGGCTGAGCAGATTCGACATTCTGCACAATGAACGACGACGCACCCACCAGGATTATGGGCAGCTGCTGCAGCTCGCCAGACATAACAATAGTCAGTGCTGGTCTGATAAACAGCATATCATGGCGACCTATGCTGACCTTGGCATCAGACCATCTGCCCATAGTCATCTCGATCGATAAACCAACCGACTTTGCTTCCGCGGAGCACCGAACATATATCAACTTTTCTAAAGTTGATTGGAAAGGCTTCGCGGAATTTACTGAAAACACCTTCGCTGCTCTCCCCACACCAACCGACGTCCACCTTGGTGAACGTAAGTTCCGCAGGGATGTCACCGCTGCTGCAGCTCGCTTCGTACCAGCAGGATGTATCACGGATCCACGTCCAAATTTCCCTGCTGAAGCGGCTGTTCTAGCCGATGAGCGTGATAGCCTGCCGATCATGCCGATCCCGGAGATCCCCGTATCAGGGATCTCAACGCGGAGATTCGGCAACTAGTAAACGTGCTTAAGCGGAAGAAGTAGGAAGAGCATCTGAAGACCTGTAACTTCACCTCTGGTGTGAGTAAGCTTTGGTCAACTGTGAGGTCACTGTCCAATCCGACGAAGCACGACGACAGAGTCGAAATTTCTTTCGGCGACCATGCGTCGTCGGACCCGGAGCGATGCGCGAGCTATTTTAGCCGGCAGTTCATACTGCATCCTCCGGTGGACANCGAGTAACCAGAAGGCTGCACAAACTGCCAACAACCTGTGCCCCCCTTGCTATTACTTGCGGTGAAGTTCAGGTGACCATCGGGAAGGCGTAAGCCTCCAAAGCNTCCCCCTTGCTATCACTTGCGGTGAAGTTCAGGTGACCATCGGGAAGGCGTAAGCCTCCAAAGCCATGGGTCCCGACGGAATATGCATGCTGATGCTTAAAAATTTGGGTCCTGCGGGGGTAGCGTACCTAACGGAGGTCCTCAATTTGTCTATGGCCACTCTCATCATCCCAGAAATCTGGAAGGTGGGGAGAGTGGTCCCACTGCTCAAACCGGGGAAGCCTGCCAACATAGGAGATTCTTATCGGCCGATAACACTCCTTTCCCCGGTAGCGAAGACACTCGAGGCCTTGCTGCTCCCGTATTTCACAAACCTATTGACTCCAGCGAAGCATCAGCATGGTTTCCGTAAAGTGCACAGTACAACAACAGCACTTAAAGCCATAAACAATCAGATAACTCGTTGCCTTAACCGTAAACGTCCCTGTGAGATAACGATTCTAGTAGCGTTGGACCTGTCAAAGGCTTTTGACACTGTCAGCCATTCCACGCTACTAGAAGATATAGAAGCTTCCTCTCTCCCACAGAGGCTCAAACGGTGGTCGGCAAATTATCTGAGCGGTCGACACTCGTCGGTAATGTTTAGAGACAAATCGAGCAAACTTAGAAAAATAAAACAGGGGATTCCACAGGGTGGAGGTGCCAGTCGGCAGTACTTGGGGCAAAGATGAAGAAACCTTGCTGGCAACATACGAGGCAATAGGCCGGCCGGTTTTAAACTACGCAGAACCAGTGTGGTCACCGGGGACTAGTAGGACGCAGTGGACGAAGCTACAGACAGTACAAAACACAGCCCTTAGGACGGCGACCGGATGCCTTCTGATGTCACCAGAACACCACTTCCACGATGAGGCGAAAATGCTCCCAATTAGGGAGCACAATACGATGCTCTACAAGCAGTTTCTGGTTGGGAGCCACAGATGGGGCCACCCAAATAGACAGCTGCTTGCAGAGGAGCCCTCGCGAAGGCACGTCAGGAGGCATCTATATGAACTGACGGACGAAGTCCAGAGGTTCATTAAGCAGCTTCTGGACCCGTCAGCTTACAGACAGGCCCTGAACGGCATTCACAGGGACGCAGTCTCGAGTTATGTAGACTCTAGACCTGTGAATGCCACTCTAGGCACA